ATTTTTTTTTTTTTTAATTCAATTTATAATGATTTTATGGATTAATTCGCCATATGTATATTCATTAAAGATACTTCTTCAATTATTTATACAGTAGATAATAATATATAAAGCAATAAAAAATGTGAAGTGGGGAGAAATGATTTGAACTGCACTGGCTATGTAAACTGTCATGGAGGTTATAATGTGTATGCGCGTTGCCCCTGGTTACGAAGCGCAGCAACCAATCAGAACTAACTGCGCACATCAAATAAAAGCTTCGGTAAGCGTCACGTAATATATAGTTGTACGGCAAACTTCACGCAATAAAGTTCGCGCCAATAATTAAATTGTCGTTAATATAACTTTTAATGACTGAAAGATATAATTAAACAATTAACAATCTCTCAAACGTGATAAGACGTGCTGGAAAAAGAATATATATATACTGTACGTGATCTGAGATCATTAAAAATGGTTAGACGAAAATCTGAGTCAAGGTTAGTTCACGATCAATTTCGTGATCAATGTCTGATATAACGTTCAAGAAGATGTGTGATATATTTTTAATAAGTCAATCAATGCAGTGATTTAAGAAAGTTTTTATACTGTTAACGATCGTAGAGAAATATTTTATATCAACTATTTAATTACCTTCTTTTGAAATTGTGAGTTTCAGTTATGAAAGTGGTCATCTTCTTTATTTAGAGTCACTAGTATAAACATTACACTAGTATAAATATTACATTATGTAGAATATTATAATTGTTAAGATATTATAATTTTTTTAGGCGGGGAACACCTAGCCAAAAATCTAGCGTAAGTGTAATTGTTTATAAGTAACGATTCAGTTGTTTTTATCGCTTATGCATGTATCTTAGTTAATTTGTTGCAAAAATCCTTCATCTGCTTACTGTGGATGTTTAATATCTTTTAGACTCATACCTTAGTATTTAAACCTAGACGTGCGCGAGTTTTACAAGAAATTAAATACTTAAGAAAAAGAGTGAGTTTGATAATACCAAAACTGTCTTTTGCACGTTTGGTTAGAGATATTCTTTTTGATTTGTTTCCAAGACAAGATATTAGAAGGTAAAATTTTGTTTTATTAATTTATTAAAGTGATTATGTTTTATTATCAGGTGCTTCTTTTGTATATTTAGGTTACAAGCGAATGCAATTCTAGCCTTGCAAGAAGCAGCGGAAGCTTATATAGTCCAGTTCTTTGAAGACTGCGTACTATTGTCACAACATGCCAAGCGTATGACTCTCATGATTAATGATATGATTTTATTACGACGACTTAGAGGAAGGACTGATATCATAAATAAATGATATAATTTAATTTTTTTAGGAGATACATTATTTAATTATATACTTGCTCACGAGTATCTTATTTTAGCATGTTAGGGACATCGACTATTATATAGTGACCATTGCAAATTACTTTTAATGTCTGTGGCATGGAACACAGTGTCCTACAGTTTTATTACTTTTATAAGAAGAGAATAGGAATAAGAGTTAGAAGAGGAAAATGATATAATATATAAATGACAAATGTTACGTTCTTGTATGTTTTATTGAATAAAGTTTTGTATTAAAGAGTTTGGAAAATCTTTTAATCGGTAATACATTAAGCCAGTAATGTTTTGCAGAATAAAATTTATTTGATGGGAAACATTTAAACTTCCGATAAAATTCTTACGTTTACTTTACGAAACTTTGGTAAAATAAAATCTTAGAATATTGCAATGTCGAAGCTTCGTAAGGTTCACTTCGTACGGATTTGTTCGAACTTGCTACATACATAAGTATAACAGTTAAAACATTTATTAAACAATAAAATAGCGTAACTGATCGTTACGTTACAATTCTTATTATTTCGTACGGGTTAGCTGCCTTCACTTACGGTATACTCATAAGTGGAACATTATTTTATGATAATTCTAAAAAAAACCGACTAAAAAATAGTATTACAAATAACAATACTATCTATCTACGTATTTATATGTATATCTATAATACAATCGAATAAGGAAATATAAAAGCCACCTGAAAAAGCAGGCTCTTTCGTATTCGTGTATATTTTGGAACAGTATGTCGTATTTCCTAATCCTGAATTTCTAAGAAGACACTTTGTTATAGGCACAGCATTAGTCACACCTTTATGCTGCCTGTCATTGTATAGAAGAGAAATTACGATAATTCGAATCTTTACCGTGGCGACGTTTTAATAGTTATTCTCTGCGCAGTCTTCAAATATCGTGTACATTCCAGCTTGCCTTATATTTTGAACTTCTAAATTCTCTAAGTCCAAAGTTTTCAATTTTCAGACTTCTCAAATTTATAAAAATCACTTGGTCATGCAGGCGTGTGGTATTAACATCAGTAAATGTAAAGCTCAGAAAAATAGTCACTTTACTGAGTTCGAATCACAAGTGGAATGTACACGATACTCGATTACAAACGTTATATTAAGCTGGAATCACCGCTGTCCGATCGACAATGTATCGATGCACTAAAATTAACAATGTAAAATTAAATAACAAGTCTTTGTATCACCGTAACCAACAACCTAACAACAGTTACTTTCTCATGAAAGACCGTACCTTGTTCACGCATTTGTCCATAAAGTTTTTCTTTCGTTTTGGCTCGGCTCCAGTTGGCAAAGAAAGTAACGAGCCTTGTTCTTTCGATTTAGGCTTGTACTCGTTCGACGAAATGCTTTCGTCAGAATCTAACCCCGCGCCACAGCTTCTCGCTTTGAGCAGTGTCGATTTATCGTTACATCCCGTTAACATCAGCAATTTCTCTTTCAACTCTACATTACTATCACAAGGATCAACGTTCTCCGAACTCGTCTGAGAAATCTCCTCCTTTTCATCCTCCATCAGTTGTCCATCCATGGTCACCAAACGATTCGGTCTTTGCTCTTTACACTCTTCACTTGAAGACTTTTCTTCCCTTTCCGGCTCTAACTTTGCTTCTACACCCGATGCTTTTACTCGTTGTCTAGGAACTGGTACTGGATTCTGATCTCTGTTAATCTGAACAATTGGTTCACCTTCTGCTTTATCTCCCTTTTGCACAAGATCATCATCACCTATCACTTTTCTATCAGAAAGTCTATCAGAAACATCCAGAGGTTCCTTAAGGTTGGTTGCATCACTTTCGTTACTTTGTGTAGGCAACTCTTCAGTCTTCATGTCTGGCACTATACCATCTTCGTCCAGTAGGCCGTCCAAACTTCTGGACCTCGGTCTCGTCGGCGTTTCTGCTTCTCTAACCGGCGAGACCGATTTCTTTTCCTCTCGATCCAGAAGTTCCAACGAACGAGATCTAGCGGACGGGGAAGGAGGGTGACGAGGAGGTCTTCGAGGCACTGGACTTCCTCCAAGGTGCGTGTGGGTGAACTTCAATCGCGGAGACGTAGGCGGTAAACCCATTAACCAACGGGACGGACTCGACGATTTTCTAAGCCTGTAATTTTAACGAAACCGATAAGATCTCTTAATCATATTCACGTACACGAGTAGTTTGTACAGACATAGCAATCATGCAATTCTTATTTGCAGTTTTCTGCGAGAGGATACATTTAAGGAATACTTGTTTCTCAAGTTTGATGCGAGAGTTCTATGATAGCTGTGCAGGGAGAGAAAAGGAAAAATAGGAGAAAAGTTACGTTCAGGATGTGCTGGGTTGTGCCTTAGACGTGAATACAGATACTTAATTTTACAGCCATGTGAACATAAAAATTCATGATGTATTGGCGTAACTAGATAGAGCCCCGGGATTGATTAAAACTTCTGAAGAATATAATGATACAAAGCGCAATTAAAGCCGACCCATCTCTTATGAAACTGCTAGTTACGCCAATGTATGTATGGTAAGACATCGATTAAATAAAATTATTTCAGCGTATCTCAACTTAACGATGTTGTACCATACAAGACTGAACCAAGCAAACAACATAAAGAACGATTTACGGACACTGATAACTGACACCAATTTAACACGAATAATAAAACTGAATCTCATCGACTGACCTAGTCATGATCGATTGTCTTTAGCGTGATTGTTAATCCTGGCTGCATGAAAACAAAAATATTGTGTTAAACGGTTGCATCCAAATGTTTAGTGTGGATAAATGTTCTTTTAGTTAATCGAGTGTATGTGGTTCACTCGGTAATCAATGGCTACCTGCTCGGTATGGCTGTGGGCGGGCCTTCTAGTCAATCTCGCCCACCTGTTGAATCCTTGTCGCTACCCCTACTTTCGTTACTGTGCATACGTTGGTAATTGGGTGGTTGTCGAATGTTTGTGTTACCCGGCGTGTTCGGTTGGGTCACATCTTTGGGCGCGATACTCCTTGGAATATCTGATCTGACTGGTATCTCGCCTCGCATAAACCTTTGAATTAAAGAAATTTTTATTTTATGGAATCCTTCGTCTCTGTCCAGAATCCAGATTATCTAAAATATCCTTGGTTCTTTCGGACTTACCTTTCAAGCTTGTCTACGCATGCGTCCTGGTAGTCATGGATCCACCGTACACCGTTGAAATGACATACTGCTCGCATGTCTTCAGGGAGTTCTTCAGGCTCTGGCCACTGGAAGTTGTCTATAATGGGTATTATGTTACACTGCGACTGTAGAGCTGCTACAATCTCCTGCAAATATCATTAACATCATTTAGAACTATTAAATAAAGAGATTACGGTATGGTTCCACTTAAGTGGACCTCATGTTTGAATCACTTACCCTATGAACCCAGTCCTTGCACTCAGTGTCTTGTATACACCTTTCCAAAGCCTTGGGCGTGAGCACAAGGAGGAAGTGTTTCGCTTGTCTGATGCTCTGCAGTAGGTTATTGTCAAATTTCCCAGCTTCTAGCCTCTCGACGTCGATGAACACAGAGAAACCACGTAATTGCAAATGGACCTTCAATAAACTGGCCAATTGAGATCCGTTCGATCTCCTATAACTAACGAACACATCCAAGGATTTGTCGGGCGACTCGTCTTCGCACGAGCCCAACTGATTGTGTTGCATGTTCTTGATGGCGTCCAGTATCCTTAACCGGTGAATACTGTTTGTGATCCCGCACTCTGTCTGAAGCTGATCTTCCGACAGATTTCTGATCGAGTCCTTGTCAACGCCAGCGTTGAGCATACTGTACGTGTAGATGGAGAACTCCTGACCAATCGACTGCAGGAAGCTGTTCAGGTTACCCGTGTCTCGACTGCTGTAGTCTGCCATTTTCTTCAGGTTCTGTAACTCTCTGGTGAACCGTCTCCTTCTGATACCGTTCGTGAGTCCTATATCTTCCTTGAGATTCTCCTCGGTCAGTTGCAGCAGGAGATCACCATCCACCCTGCTCTCCACGAAGTTCTGCGCGCATTCCGCGAACCCGATTTGCTTCACCCATTCCCGGACATCCTCCGTCGACCAGAGAGGAACTTGCTGACTGAGTTTGTGCGGGATCTCCTCACCGATCAGCCGCAGAGCTTGTGCCGCGTACTTGGAGGCGATGGCGTTGGGACAACTGGCGACTTTCTTCAGAGGTTCAATCGCTCCAATGGCGCGGAATATTTCCGTGTTACCCTGTTGCTTTTTAATACCCGCTTCCATGCAGAAGTGGAAGGCGGCCAGGTTCCTGGCTTCCTCTCGCTTCGAGCTCAACACGGGTACCAGCCTCTCCAGCCAGTTCTTGCTTTGACCGTGAGCGTGTGCCAGGTTGGATTTAGCGAACTCGTAAGGATTGTGCGAGGTGACAAATGGCTCGACCAGGTCTAAGGTGCCCGATTTCAGCACCGCGGCTTCTATTTCTTTGTTGGCTACCAGTACAGCGATGGCCAGGCAGGCATAGTATTTGATATTGTCGTCGTTGTGGAACGCCAGAGGGAACAGCCACATGGGCACTTTTCTCTTGATCATGGCCTCCTGGTTCTCCGCACCACCGTACAAGGATAAATTAGCCAAAGCACCTGCACAGTGTCTCAACGTCTCGACGTCGTTCTTCCTGCACTCGAACAGCACGGCGTCCAGACCACCTAGCCTGATCACGTCGCTGCAGGTCCCTTCGCTGTGCTTGAACAGGTGTTCCAAGATACCGGTGCCCACTCTGGAGTGGTCCACCGAGTTGGCGTTCTTCGTACAGACGCACGCAACGTTCACCACTTTCTCGAGCCCGTGTTCCACCACGTGCGCTCTGTTCTCGGTGGTCAGACATTGTTCCAGCAACCTGGCCGAGGAGAACTGCAGATCCTGGTCGCTGGCCACACAATTAGACATGAGGAGATCAAGGCCTCCTCTCGTCCTCAAGGTATTGCACAAGGTGTAACCCAACTCGTGTCCATGAGTCGGTACAGCCCAGGCTTTTCTGATTATCTCGTTCACTCTGTTCAGAAGCAACGGAGCCTTGCCGTTCTTCCCGTCGTTCGCCTTCAGACGCTCCACGAAGCTGTCCAAGAAGTTGGAGTACTTGGCGATGGCGCGATCGACGTCCTGAGGATTCGACTTTGAACAGAGGAGATCGAGATCGTCCAAGGGTAAAGCGAGTAGCTCGTCTTCGGCTGGCCTCATGCCGTTCATTAACTGATTCACTGCATTCGCTGCGCTGATCATCGAGGACTTTGAGGCCACTCCGTTTGAGGCTATCGTGATGCTCGACTGCGAGCTGGTGGTCAACATGTGCTTCTCTTGGTTGAAGATGCCGGTCGAGGTGACCGTTTGTCTTTGCTGCTGTGCCGCCATGGCTTTCTGGAATAAAAATAATTTATTATTTTTTCATTTTTAAATAAAGGATGTTTTAAGTAAAGGAGGTTTTTCACTGTAAAATGATATCAGTAGTAAATGTGAATCGCACGTGTTTGTTGTAAATACTGTGTTCCACAAAGAACAGACAATTTTTCACAGGAAAAGAGGAAAATATGAAGGTACATATTAACTCCATCTTGATTAAACGAATCGCGTCATCGGCAAATATTTGCGCGGAAAATTTCTACAAGAAAAAAATAGAAATATTTTCGGAAACAGTAAGCCTTCTACAAATAAATCGTGCGATCTATTTTTGCGATTCCATCGATAAGCGTACAGCGCGTTTCAAGAGGCTCGGAGAAATAAACGTCGCAATAGAAAGCGTTTCGAGAAGTTGATGAGCATTAAAATTAATGTAGGTTGGCGGCAAAGCCGAGACCAATGTCGTATAGAATTATCTCGCGTCCATGTCACGTCCGGTATCTTAATTATTTCAGTATCACTAATGGCGTCCAATACGGCATTCCGGAAACTTCCACCTCATAACCGAGTCCACAACACAGGACGCGCAACAGGTGCGAAGAAAAACGTGCACGATTGTCATCGACCTCCCGAAAGTCGCGAAAAGGAACACATGTAGAAAATTCGAGTACCATTCTCGAATCGAGACTCCATTTCCGCATTATCCACTTAGTGGCTGCTCGCTGTTCACGAGGAAGACTGAACGCTGCCGGCAATCTCGTCGACGTTTAAATCCGTGGATCCCACTTTTCGCTTATACGAAATCGTTTCTCGCGTTCGTGTATAAATATGAGGGACGCGGCGAACGCGTGCCAAGCGAAACGCACGAGATCGATCGGTTGGGAGGATTTTTATCGTCCGCGTGTTGGTACTCGGCCAATGAGAAGCTAACCTTTTGTATCGTGTCTAGGAATGGTCCACGTTTTATTGGGCTTTACTAGAACGCGGTTTATGAGGTTGGCAGTAGAAATTGTTGGCGGGATTTGAAGTGTCGGTGGGAATTTGGCGAAGCGTGACAGAGATCTGGGAATTTGGGGATTAGGTAGTTTGAGGATTTTGGAGATAGGGGAATTTGGGAATTTCAGGATGGAGGGTATTGGAAATTTAGGGATTTCAGGATAGAGGGTATTGGAAATTTAGGGATTTCAGGATAGAGGGTATTGGAAATTTGGGGATTTCAGGTTAGAGGGTATTGGAAATTTAGGGATTTCAGGATAGAGGGTATTGGAAATTTAGGGATTCAGGTTAGAGGGTATTGGAAATTTAGGGATTTCAGGATAGAGGGTATTGGAAATTTGGGGATTTCAGGTTAGAGGGTATTGGAAATTTAGGGATTTCAGGATAGAGGGTATTGGAAATTTAGGGATTCAGAAAATGGGGTATTGGAAATTTAGGGATTTCAGGATAGAGGGTATTGGAAATTTAGGGATTTCAGGATGGAGGGTATTGGAAATTTAGGGATTTCAGGTTAGAGGGTATTGGAAATTTAGGGATTCAGAAAATAGGGTATTGGAAATTTGGTGATTCAGAAAATAGGGTATTGGAAATGTAGGGATTCAGAAAATAGGGTAATGGAAATTTAGGGATTTCAGGATGGAGAGTATTGGAAATTTGGGGATTCAGAAAATAGGGTATTGGAAATTTGGGGATTCAGAAAATAGGGTATTGGAAATTTGGGGATTCAGAAAATAGGGTATTGGAAATTTAGGGATTCAGAAAATAGGGTATTGGAAATTTTGAAATTAGAATATTTGGGAAATTGGAGATCAAGAAATTTTTGAATTTTGGAACTAGGGAATTTGAGATTTTTTATCTAGGATTTTGGGGTCTAGGTCCTTTGGAAATTTGGGACCAGAGACTTTTAAATTGTAAATCTAGTGATTAGGGAATCTAGGAGTTTGATGATTGTCAATTTTGCAATGAGAGTTTGATGATGTAGGAATTTGATAGAACATTAATCTTTATATACTCCTTACGGGAAATTATCGTACTGAATAGTTACTATTGCATGCAACTTCCTTATTTAACTTTGATTCTCACCTTTTCTGAGCTGAAGGAGTCACTTTGCAGCTTCATCGTGGATGCTGCCATGTTGTTGCTTTCTTGGTGCGACAAGTCGCCAGCTTTCAAGCTTCTCTGTTCCTGAAATAAATAAAAATATAAACGTTTATTAACACCTTCTCGAGAATTTAACTATTCAAAGTTCCTGCACTCAGTATCTATTATATTGATTTAAAAATAAGTACAGATACAATGGTCATGAATTATTGTTCAATCATTATAATTTTCTAAAATCAACAAAAATATAAATGTTTCTAACACCTTGAAAATTTAACTGTACGAATTTTTTTGAACTCAGCGCTTATCATATTGATTTGAAAATAAGTACAATTACAATGGTCATGAATTATTGTTCGATCATTATAATTTGCTGAAATCAACGAAAATATAAAAATATATTAACACCTTGAAAACGGTACATTTCACTAAAATTTTACAGTGCCTTCGTGCTGAATGTTTATCGCGTTGATTTAAAAATAAGTACAATTATAACATTCATGTATTATTATAATTTGTAAAATTTGAAAGATAAGATGAAATATTAAATTTATGGTATCCATCACAAATTCCTTCTAGAATATTTACATAAGTTTTGCTAAACGATCGAAAAAGAGAATCTTGCACAGTGACTCGATTGTTGGTCGATCTATGATCTTATCGGTTCCCCGCGAATTAGTGTCATTAGCTAGCGCGTAAATTTAACCTTCCGCCTCGTGTTAATTATTCGCAAGGCGCGACGAATATTTCTCGAGACTATTCAGTCCCGAAATATTATGAACCTTCTCTGATATTTAAATTTTATGCTAATGCAGTAATACTTGAGATCGTAATTTAAAAAGAAGTTTCGAACTAACATCAAGCAACACGACACGCAAGGTCGTATGCATAAGTTCCTGGAATTTGCATGGACAACCAATTTTGTAACTGTTATATATTTGTCTTAATAATTCGGGAATTTTGGACGTTGATCGAAGTTCTTGGTACTGATTAATTATTCATGCAAGATGATTTGGGTTTCTAGGAGTGTGACGGGTTAAATGGCTAAGGTTATGTCACACAGTTCATGGGCGCTAATGGGCATTATGGTATAGTGATTAGGTGTTGGATTTACTGAAATTTCAGGGACTCAAAGTTTTAAATTTTTATGTTTTAAAATTTGGGGATTTGGAGGATGTTGTGGGGATATTTTGCGAATTTGAAAATTTTGACATTTGGGCTTTTGAGAATTTGGGGATTCTCTAATTTAGACTTTTGAGAATTTGAAAATTTAGAAATTTTTATTTTTAGAAGTTTGGAAATTTGAGAATTTAGAGATTTACAAATTTAGATTTTTGAGAATTTTAAAATTTAGAAATTTTTATTTTTACAAGTTTGGAAATTTGAGAATTTGGGGATTCATAAATTTAGACCTTTACAAATTTTTAAATTTTAGAAATTTAGACTATGGACAGTTTGGAAAATTAGAACTTTAAGCTTGCACAAATTTGAGAATTCAGCAATTTGAGCTTCCACAAATTTGAGAAGTTAAATGTTTAAGTCTTTACAACTTTGAATATTTAGATACTTATGCTTTTAAAAATTTGAGAATATAAAAATGTTCAAATTAAGAAGTTTGTCCTTTTACAAATATGTAAATTTCAAAATACCCAGCTACAAAAATTTCAAAATAAAAAATTCAAAAATCTATAAGAAAAATTAAAGAAAAATTGACTCATCAATGTTCAGCAATCGACTTGAAATAAACCATCCTCCTAACATATGCAACCATGATCCTTCCACTTGGCAGAAAATCTCTCGCGATATATAGCATAAAAGTTTCCACTTTCACTACCTTCATAAAGGTGACACAATCTTCACTTACAGACAAGTACACAAGATGTCTGAATTAACTCGCATGCTTGTACCACGAAATCGGCGTCGCAGCGCGTGGACGAATAATGCAATATCGAAGAGGAAACGTCGCCGAGGAGTTTCCGCGACAGTGTTCCATAACAGTCTGGCCTGTCGAAAGCTCATCGGCCGCTTCTCGACCTCTCCTCTTCGGCTTCTGACGTATTTCTCTAAATATAATCCGAGCGTGTCGTCACGAGCTGCGTTTTGTTCTGGCTTGTCGTCGCGAGATGATATTCGCCTTCTCTTCGCCTCACCACCTTGCAATAAACACGCGCTACGACTCCCTCCATTTTCCTTCGATCACCACGTGGCCAACGATCGCGCCAGCGGACTTTATAACGAACCAACGCAAATAATTGCGTTACTATCGTGAAACTGCTCTTACCGGTGCATCACGAAACTGCAATAAATTCTGCTGATGCGTGTTCGTTGCACTGCGATATGAGCTTTTAGATATTTATGGGCTTTGGTACTTGGAAATTTTATATTTGCAAGTCATAATTTTATTGTGTTTAAAATTTAGATTTACAAATTTTTAAATTTATTTTGGAATTTTCAGATACCCTGAAATTATGAAATTTTCGAGTGTTAAGTTAGATTAAGTTCGACCTAGTGACGTTTAGGTTAGGTTCAGTTGGAGTTTATGAAATTTTGGTTAGGTTAGGTCAGAATAAGAAATACTGAAATTTAGGTTATGTTAGGTTACATCAAAATAAGAATGTGTCAAGTTTAGGTTAGGTTAAATTAATTTTTGGTCAGGTTAGATCAGAATTAGGATAGTGAAGAGTAGGTCAGGTTAGGTTAGATCAAAATAAGAATGTCAAGTTTAGGTTGGGTTTGATCAAAATAAGAATGAGTCAAGTTTAGGTTAGGTTTGATCAAAATAAGGATGAGTCAAGTTTAGGTTAGGTTAAATCAAGTTTTGGTTAGATATATACAAATGATGTTTTGGTTAGGTTAGATCAAAATTAGAATACTGAAGAGTAGGTCAGGTTAGGTTAGATCAAAATAAGAATGTCAAGTTTATGTCAGGTTAGATCAAAATAAGAATGAGTCAAGTTTAGGTTAGATTTGATCAAAATAAGGATGAGTCAAGTTTAGGTTAGGTTAAATCAAGTTTTGGTTAGATATATATAAATGATGTTTTGGCTGGATCAGATCAAACTAAGAAATAGTGAAGATTATGTTAGGTTAGGTTAGACCAACATAAGAATGAATCAAGTTTAAATTAAGTTAAATTAAATTTTGTTTAAGTGAACATAAATGATGTTTCAGTTAGGTTAGATCGAAATAAGAACAACTAATGTTCAGGTTAGGTTAGGCTCAATTATGTTGGAATTAACGTAGTTTAAGTTAAGTTAGGTCACACTAAGAATTATAGAAATTGTCATTAGGTTAGATTAAGTCACATTTAGTAATAGTTAGCGAGGTGTTGGCTACGCTACATCGAGAAACAAGGAAAAGTTTAAAATCTTGTAATTCCCAAAATATTGTTTTCTTCCTCGATTTCCTAGTATTCGCTACTCGTCTTTCCAGTTTTGTAATTTGCAAAAGTTCCAGTTTTGTTTTACAATTTTTGTCACCTTTTCATAGTAGCTCGAATTTGAATTCGGTAAACAAATTCCACGGATTCTGATATACTCGTTTCCATTGATTTATAGATATCTCTACGATCATTTGCGTCAACCATGATCTTTCCGAATGAAAATAAAAGTCGTTCGAATTTTGGCGACCGTCCACTCGTAACTCGTGTTCTTTGAACGCCAATTCGAATATTGATCAAATAATACAGGGAGTGCCTCTTTTGATAAAGATCACTTCTATTCATTCCATAATATACTTAACGATGCTCTTCAAAAACAATTCCTGCATTTTTTCATTCAAAAGAAGCTTGTTTATCAATGTCCAACAATTCAGTTTTTCCTCGAATTCAACGTTATCGGAAAATAAGATTCTTGAAATCTCGCTGAAAATACCCTACTTTCCACGCATGTTTACTAGGGTAGATATACCAATTACGCAGCCTTTGATAAATATATACACAAATGAACATGAGCAAAATTTTATGAATTAATTATAATCATTACTCAGTAAGATTCAAAACAAGAAACTCTAACTTCAAAACTTCAACTACAAATATCCAATGTTGTACATATTTATAAAAGAGTGTACTTATTCTTCCGATAATTTTGATATTCCTAATCTAAAACCTTAAGAAATGCTGACCAAACTATTTTACATAAATCGTTCATAAACATCATATAAAACGAACATCGTATCATAAAATGGCCAGACACAGTAAGAAGAGAATGAATTCAACTCTTGCAAACCTCTTTGCAACCTCTTTCATAAAATTCTGTAATACCGCGAAATTGCCCTAAGCTCATAATCGTTCCAAGCTTAAAAAGCGGAGTATCGCGTTTAATCATTCACATGAGCATTTACTTTATTTTTCTTTTAATGTTACAGTCCTGAATAGTCTTGACTGACGCATCTAATAAATAAATGACACGCGAAAGAGTTAACTGATACACGATCGTGAAAACTAACTTAAAGGCTCCGTAATTGGCACACGTCCACAGTATTACAAAAAACAAATCTTCCATCCTTCCTCACACACAACTCACCACGTGCGGTTTCTCGAACACCTTCCGATGCATCACGCTGCGATGCACTGGCCACGGTGCACTCATCTTGCAAACGCATATCACCACCACTCTCGACGCGATAAGATTCGATCACCGACAAAACACTCGGGAAATCTCTGTAGATTTAATGATCGAACCCGGTGCGGGTCGGTTCGATAAGATAACTTCGTTTCGATAAGAACGATAAATTTCGTGGTTCGAAAAAAACAGCGTTCAGAAAGATATATGTTCGATCGATGACGAATCGATGGTCGGAGACACCCGGCGACTAAGTCACTCGTTCGAATGGCGATCCACAAGTGGCGCACAAGTTTAATTTCGTTCTGGACAGCTGAAACGTCTTCGGTGCAACCGCGACCCACGTGATGCTGATTTTTCGCCGGGTCTACGCCTCTGGTGTTTCTATTTTTCGCGGCTAGAAATAGCGGTCGCATCATTCGCACCGGTGCACGGATTGTCAAGTTCCGAATAGCTGCAGGGTCATCGTTACGTAATTTAGCGGCATTTCCGTGATCATCTTCTTTCAATCGACTCGAAATA